AGTTCTGTAATTTTATTCTATTCATCCGCACGTATCGGTGAGCGATGGACATAGTGATGATAACAGACAAAATGTAAATGCTGTGGACTGTGACACACAAATCCCAGGTAGGATGTGATCAGAAAGAGGAAGAGGAGAAATGTCCTATAACGGTGCATCTCGGTATCGAAGGAGATTCTTGTCGTCTCCTGCTGCCAGGAGATGTGACACAGGAGGAGATTTCCTGCCAGGATTTCCCAGAGAAAGGTGTTGTTGTCGAGGTGGAAGGTCTGTGGAAGAGAAAACGACGAGGATGAGATTCTGTACTGAAAACAACACTAATTAACATCACTGAAAGAGACGGAGTCAGAGGAAGACGAGGAACTGTGGTTGCAACAACAACGAGAATAGCAGCGCCCCCTGATCTGGAGCCGAACCAACATTTAAATGAAGTTGTAGTTTTTGGGTAATCCTGCAAACAAACAAACAAACGTAGATTATGCTCCTTGGCCGAGGTAATTATTGCAATATCGTTTATCACAGTAACAGTTCAATATTTCTGTGTGGAGTCGTCTCCCAGTGTTTGTGTGAATGGAGTTCATGTGACAGATGATAGAGTTCGTACCTGGGATGTTTTTGCTTCATTTCTTGACAGTGGGAGGAAGTGGAGGAGCAATCATCCGTCTTTATTGACAGTCTATGGTTGAAAAGATGAATCATGAAGAGCGGCTCGGTGTTACACTGGTTAGCGTTTCACCTCTTCTCTTGTTCTGACCTCTTTTTTTTCTCCTCCTCTCATTTCCTCTACACTTTTCAGCACTCCCTCTCCTTGCCGGCCTCGTTTCCAATCTCTTAATAGTTCTTCAACTTATCCATCTCTCTCTCCTCTCCTCTCCTCTCCTCTCCTCTCCTCTCCTCTCCTCTCCTCTCCTCTCCTCTCCCCTCCTCTCTTACCTCAGGCCCATCATGGCTGTACACAGAGAACAGAAGGAGCCCCAGTGGCAGCAGCCTCGTCCTATCTGTGCCCGGGCATCATCACTACATTGTGGCGTCTCTCTCTCTCTCTGTGCAGCAGCACAAGAGGAGATTACTCTGCTCACATCAAACGAGGTTTGTCTAACTTGGGTCTGGCGATGTGCTGGTGGAGCGAGTCCTTGGAGCAGCCTTGCTGTTCTTATCTCACCCCAACAGACTCTTTTCTGTTTTCTGCTGCAACACAACTGGCTGCCGGTAACACTGACGCATGCACGGCTCTGCACGGTCAAATGTGCACACAACAAACACCAGTGCATATTCTCTTGTGTGAATACACACACATAACATTGAGGCAGCTCTTTTTTTTCCTTCTTCTGATATTAGTAGAATTTGTTCTGCTGAGTGAGTCTCCCTCTCTCTCTGTCTCTTCCTCCTCCAGCATCTGCTCGGAGCCGAACCTGCTTCACTGAATATTTGAAATGGATTAAACGACTTTCCCCGGACTCACACTTGCAAAAAGAAACTGCTACTCTTCAATTTGATGTTAAATATTTTAACCACACCAAAGTAGGAGCAGAAAAGACCAAAGAGATGAGAACACAGACTGTAAATAAAGATGGATGGAATTTCAATCGAGGGAAATACGCTGCACAATGTGCGTTGAAGCCATTGTGACTAAAACATTAGATGAGCAGATGTTGACCACTAACTTCTTTTTTCACCGGAGGTGGAGTATGTGCACCTCGGCTCTGCAGCTGGCTTTCATACCCCGATCTCAGGTCAGGCATCTAAGAGGATAAGTGCATTCTGGGTGTTGACGTATTTCTACCTTTTGGGCCAAAGGGAAAACCACAGTCCTTGTTCTCTGTTTTGTCCGATTCTGCAGCACTAGTCTTTATATGTTTTCACCTTTCTCCTGCATAAATACTCGAATTGTATTAAAAGCTCATCCTCCGAGCTGTGAATTATTCATTCCAGCGGCACAATATGCTCTTTGTTTTTATTTCGTTTGTTTACGGCAAGTGAATATGAGTTCAGTGTTCAGTTACACTATGCACTGCAAATATCTTTTTCCCTAAGAAATCGGAATGGAAACGAGTCCACCAAGTTATCGATATCATGTGATGTACATATGAATCTATCAAGTTGGCACTCGTCAATTTTCAACACAAAATAACACAACAACAACAAATATTTTCTATCGTATTATATCGTATCACAGTATTGTGACATATCGTGATACGTATCGTGAGGTCCCATCCAACACACCGCCTGACCAGCCGCCCCTCAACCCCCGAATATTAGATAATTATATAATAATACAATATATTCATTATAATTATTATTTATCTTGTTTAATCCACACAAAATCCAAAGTATATATACGACAACTCCATGTTTTACAAGGGATTCTATGTTGCAGTTGCCAGTGGAGACGCTTTGCCCCCAGCCAACAAATAGTCTGACACATAATCCCCTGTGCAACAGAGAGCTGTTATTTCTGTGGATTTAACAAATAGAGTACAACATATTAGTAAGTGATCTAAAGAAGTGCTGGTGTTGGACAGAACCAGGCAAACGGCTGCTTTCCCCCCGTCCCCGGTCTTTAAGTCTCCCTCCGTCCAGATTTAACAGACAGATGGTGACGGTATTAGTCGTCTCATCAACTTGCCACCAGAAGGTTGAAAAGAAGATGTAAAAGAAAATCACGTTAGTTCCGTAGTGTCCACACAAATCTGATTATTTTAGATTATGGAATCATTCATGTTTCACATTTAAACAAATCTCTGCAAAATCGGAAATTTGCATCGAACTTTAGACACTGAGAGGTAAAACATTGAGTGTGTGTGTGTGTGTGTGTGTGTGTGTGTG